AGGTTTCTGGCTTCTGGAAAAGGCTTTATTATTAGTTTTTATGGTTTTCAGAATATTGCTTCTTAAAACCTTTTTTGGCCTTGGATTTTGTGCTGTTTTCTATTTTTCTCATTTGGACACAATTTCCACCTTCTGAAGAATGTCATTTTACTCCTAATAGTCTCCATTATTCTGCTGTTTAACCACAAGAGCTCCTTTCTGGTCCTTTTTATAGGTGATATATATTTATTCTAAACCTCTAATATGGTTCCTTTATGTAATTTCCTTGCCACCTCCAAGCAGTTTATCTTTTTGGCAGCTGCTTTTAATTTAAGTTTAGCAAGTTCCTTGTCCTGTCTTTGGATGGGATAAATCACCTTCCAGAGTGCCTGTTAACACAATCGGCTTGGATTACACAGTTAACTTTAAAATGAGGGTAGTTTTAGCCCACAAAACCTTGCTGTGTGTGACCTGCCACATTCCTAGTATAAAAAAAGCTGTTTTCTTGCCTGGAAACTACAACACTGTATAGGTCTCTAGCTGAAAAACTGAGGCATGTCTTCATCCACTTCATCATATCTGCATAATGCTGCTTAATTTTCTGACAGATATTTTCAGTTAGTTGCATGAATAAATAAACATTTTATTTTAAAGGTCTTTGTAAAACCACCTGCTTGATTTTTTTTCCCAGTAACTGATATTGAGGGTCCTCACTGTTATTCTGTTAAAAATGAACAGACATTTTCAATTGAGATTGGTAGATCTGGGGAAATAACTCTACTTCGTCAGCTGTACATTACTGTAACAAGGAAAGTATCATCACCGAGAACCGAAAAACCCAATAGCGGCTTGCTTCATTGCTGGTGGTTTGTATTGATTATCTTGAGTTTAAAAGTGTACTTGATGTGACAGAATATTTGGGGCTGTGAATTACACACAGGGACTACTGGGGCAAGTACCACTTCCAGAGCATAGCCTTGGTGCTTCTCATTCATTGGTGTGATGGATTCGGGTGTAAATGGGGGGGGATTGATGAAGCCTTGTTCCCTTTGTCCCTGCCAGAACATCCACCTGGTGGCCAAGTGGCTGAGTTCTCTGGAGAAGAAGCTGGAGCAGCACAGTGAGGGCAGCCACCAGGATTTCCGTATCTTCATTAGCGCAGAGCCGGCACCCTCCCCTGACAGCCACATCATTCCCCAGGGCATCCTGGAGAACTCCATCAAAATCACCAATGAAGCCCCGACTGGGATGCATGCAAACCTGCACAAAGCCCTTGACAACTTCAACCAGGTAGGAGTGCAGCGGGGCTCACGCCGGTGGCTGGCCAACAGGTCAGCTTGGGGCTGCTGGAGCCCCATATAGAGTGTGATGTGTGTGTGCCGCTTCCAGGCAGCAGACGCGTGAGTCCCTTTGCATCATGTAGTCTCTGGATCCAACAACCTCCTCCTCTCTTCTCCATGATCTGGGCACAGATCTCTTTCCAAGCACTGATTTTCCCAAGAGAGGACTCAGGTAATCCTGAATGGCCTCTTTCTTGCAGAAGGTCACAGGATACCAGAGTTCTGTCCAGTTTAATGATTTTCTCACCAATATATGATCCTTAAAAAGGCTATTTTGTTGCAGAATCAAACTTCTGAATGCGGCATTTGGGAGACTTTTGTCATGTTTCAACTTGATTTCTGTGTCTGTATCATTCCTTCTTGGGCTAGCGAGTGACATATTACATCTAACACCCAAAGACATGGTGAGGCGAGCAGGTTAAACCTTGCTTTTTTCCCCTTCTGTTTAACCAGGATTAGAGGTTCAGAACTGCTGATGTGGTCACATCCCACATCACCCTTCAGAGCAGCATAGGGGGACTTGGTGTTGTGTGCCCAAAGGCCATTCAGCTCAAAACCTTGCTGACATCAGAAGTGTTGCAAATTAGAGCTGAAATCTCCCTGCAGGGAGGACTTGCTTTGCCAGATGAGGGTAAAGTAGGCCATCTTGAGAACTGCTGGCCCACAAGAAGAAGAACCGATGGCAGGTTGCTTGTTGCTTTTATTGCATGGTGACCACATACACACATTCCTGTTACAGCAACCACCGACCCCGCTCTTTGCTGCTGGAACTGCAGCTGAGTCTCTTGTGCAGGGGACGCAAAAGCAAAGTGTGGGGAAATGACAGGAAATACTCTTTTCTTGGTGCCACAGCGGGTATGGATCAATGTTAGAGTTGTCATAATGCGGTGATTAAACAAGCCGGCTTTGTGGCCTCGCTCGGCAGCTCTGGGCACCGCAGGGCAGGAGGCTGCCAACAGCAGCGGGGCAAGGATCAAGTGCTGGCAGCTCCCCAGGGAACAGCCTGTGTGTCGAGGCATGCTGGAGCCCGGCATGTCTCGCTGCTGGAGGCGGCTGTGCTTCTGCTGACCCCATTTTCCGCATGACACAAAAGGCTAAGGGCTAACCACTCGCATTTATGATGATACCTTTCCTAGAGACACAGACCATTGCGTTCTGCTGCCCTGGACGCCCATTACCTGCATTCACACATCGCCGTCACCTTGGCGTGCTGAGCTCTCACAGCAAGACCCCGGCTGTTAAATCTACAGCAGCCAGAAGGGATGGAAGGTACATTCAGCCCTCGGACTGCCTTTTTTGATCACTAGCACTGAAGTTACTACGGACTCTTTGTTCTGCTGGTGACTGTGCCGGGAACATGCAGGGCAAACCTTGCAGGCTTGCTTTCTTTTCTCTCCATACAGCCTTTTGTCATTTGGGACCAGGCAGGAGCAACCCCAGCCTATTGTGGACCCCAGGCACTGGTCCATGGGGCAGAGAAATGGGGGCAGCTCAACTATTTTTGCACTTAGATGTTGGTAAGGAGGGAGTCTTGGGTGCAGGAGCTAACATTGCTGAGCAGGTGAGGCGGGGAGGCACCACGCAAGGATTAATGCAAGTAGTCAGGGAAGATTATTCCATTTTTGTCTACTGTCATTCATCATCCTGAACTCCATGAAACGTCCTGGAGAGCAAGAGAGGGACCAACCTTCACCCCTAGTAACATTTCCATCCTGCCTCTGTTCATTTCAATTCGATAGTAATTAACATTTTCTAAATTGCTGGAGTATTATAAAACGTCTCTTATCAGAAATACTGGAGAGAGTGGGTGGGATTCCTTTACACCTCATTTTCCTGCTTTGTACAGAATGGATGTTCAAATTTAGCTTTCAGCTGAAAGCCACAAAAAAGGCCCATTATTCTGTGCGGGGAATATTGTTCTGCTTTGTAGCTGAAGAAAAATGCACAACTAAATAGGGAGGCCGAATGAGACTGAGCTAGATTTTTACTCAGTGTTCATTCAGGCAAGCTCTCCTTGAAGTCCAGGGGCATTTTCTGAAATGAGGCAGGTGCTCAGCACATATTTCATAGAATCATGTGATTCTATGATTCTATGATTTGAGCCAGTTTTTCATCAGGTTGCTGATAATGAAGGGAGTTTAGAGTGCTGTCTCATCAAGGGGAAAACAGGGTTTGGGATGTTCTTGATCATCGTATGCAGTTAGTCAACATCTTGCCTACTTTAGAGTAATGGATTCCCCCTCTTCAGCACAGACCCTGAGCTCTATTACACTCCCCAGCTGATTAAAGGTCTAAATTTTTTTTAAGATAAAGGCAATGAAGGGAAGTCACATGGGCACCCTTTTTTGTCTTTGTCACATAGCAGAATGGACTTAAAGGGGCTGTCCCTGGGGAGGGAGGATGGAGGGGCTGGTGTAGCTACTCCCTCCTTGCTTAGCTGCTTGCTCAGCTGTGCAGGTCAGAGCCACCGTACCCTGGATATGTTATTCGCAGGGAGGGTTTGCAGAGATGTGGGTGGAGGTGCAGGCAAGCCCTACCCAATATGTTCATCTCCCAGGTCTGGGGAGATCTGTACTGTTGGCCATGGGAGATCTCATCAGGTTCCTGCCATGGAGCAGGGGATCCACTGTTCAGCTACACTGCTCTTGCCAACGCAGAGCGAGGGCCAGAGCTTTCCAAGCCTCTGCCTGGCTTCAGCCACAGAAAGGGGGTTCAGCTTCCCCCATGAGAGCTGAGCTTCAGCCTCATGCCATGCACACAGCTTGAGTCCTTCATCCCTTCCGCTGCTCTGCTCTCCTGTAACATTGATGCTCATGCTGCTGGGAACGGGCATGGCTGCTCAGGCTTCCCCTTGGTGCCAGCCTGCTGAGACGTCACTCCAAGAACCGTTCAGGGTTCTTTGGAGACCAGTTCCCTTTGTTCATTTTCATTGATTAAATGACTCTGGCTCCCACCTCTCCACCTCCGACATCACGATTCTACCTACTCGTTTGTAGATATTCAAACTTTAAGCGTCACCTGGAAGTTGGGAAAGGAAGCACCTGTTGCTGTGCTGGCTTTAAAGAGCTGCATTAGATTTTTTGCAAGTGTTTGATCTCCCCTGCTTGGATTTTTAGCAGTTTCTCACATCTCTGCTTTGGTGTGCTGCGCCAAGGTCATGCTGTCAGCAAATACGCAGCTGCAGCACACACTGGGCTGGCTTTGTGCGGAGGGTCATGGCAGCGGGAGCACAGCCTTTCTGGGAGAACTCCCTGCTGCTTCAGCCCTGCAGCTCAGAGAAATGCTGCCTCAAGGAAACCTTTTGTACTCAAGGGGCACGACAGACTTTAGTTCTTCCAGGTACAATCCTCCTCGGCAGGAGCCTTGCTTAGGGCCATGGTCCCAGTCACATCGCTGGCACGCTTGCCCTGTGTGGTCCCTCTCTCCATCTCCCTGCTGTGGGATGTGAGGCATGTGCAGGTGATGGGGCGTTGGGTGGATGCAGGTTTTCTTCCCTTCTTGGCTGTCACCATGTGTTCCTGTGCAAAGCCACTTTGAGTTGGAAAAGAAAATACTAATTTGGAAAATATGCATCAGAATTCACCCCTGTCCAAAGTCCGGTGTATTTGGGAGGCCCTGAGAGTTGCTGAGACAGAGGGCAGTGTGGACTTACACAGCCCCACCTCTCTGCCTGTATTGCAGGATACCCTGGAGATGTGCACCCGGGAGAATGAGTTCAAGAGCATCCTGTTTGCCCTCTGCTATTTCCATGCCTTGGTGGCAGAAAGACGCAAGTTTGGCCCCCAAGGCTGGAACCGTTCCTACCCCTTTAATACTGGAGACCTCACTATCTCTGTGAACGTGCTGTATAATTACCTGGAGGCCAGCTCAAAGGTACGTGAATCAAAGGTGGGCTCTTTGGTGGCTTTTGACCACCAGTGATGGACTGGCTTGTGTTGAAACTCCTGGGAAGTCTCCTTAAATGCCATTTCCTTGGTATCTTTCTTTGGTTTTATAACTTCACAGTTCGGTATACCTTTGTGGTGAGATGGGAATCTTCAGCGCCACTCACATCTGTAGCAATTTACAAATCATAGCAAATAGTGCCTGTGGTCTTTATTCATGGAAAATACATAGTGGTCTTTAGTTTAACAGAGTTAGAATAAATTTGCATTTCAGTGGGAAACGGCACGAAATCTATGCTGTGATCCAGTTTTCCTTGGGCAGGATTTAACTACTACCTAATGTTTGTTTACTTAGAAAACTGAAATAGTGAATTGGAAGCACTCACTGTGCAGATCAGTGCTTAGTGCTGTAGCCTGCAGCTCAACGACATGGCTGGTGGAGCTCTGGCTGTCTGAACTCCTCCATGCCCTCCTGGTTCATTCTTCAGGTCCCATATGATGATTTACGCTACCTTTTTGGTGAGATTATGTACGGAGGTCACATTACAGATGACTGGGACAGGCGGCTTTGCAAAACCTATTTGGAAGAATTTATTAAGCCAGAAATGCTGGAGGGAGAGCTTCTCCTTGCTCCAGGATTCCCCCTCCCAGGGAACATGGACTATAATGGCTATCATCAGGTAAGCTCTTTGTTTTCTGGCATTATTTACACACATAAATGTAATGTCTTCCATAACTGCCCTGTAATCTGTCTTAGGAGGCAGTGAATAGGACTGCAGTGTTTCAACACACCTCCTGTTATTTCCCATTATGTGCTGTTTCTGTAGACGTTTCAGCATTCCCTTGAATGAACCAAGTCTAATGGTAATTTGCTACTTCATCATGGGCTCATTCTGTTCATGCATGAAGAGAACAACTGTATTGACTCTTGAGACTTGAGTAGGGCTCCTGGAAAACTACATCCACATACTGTTTGCTAAAATGGCCCTTTCAAGCTCCTTTTATCATCAGTTTTGATGAGAAACACTGAAGGGTCTTGTTCATCTACTTACTGATCTCATCTGTTCTGTGTACACAAATGTGGTAGCAAAGGTAGGCATATTAGGCTGGTTTTGTTCATAAAACTTAACTACTGGAAGCTAAATTCTCACAAGATATTTCAGGCTATTGATGCTGAAATGCACAGTGGATAATTGTGAAGGTCCAGGCCCAAGATATGTAGCCAAGCCAAACTTCAGCAATTACTAAACTTTCATAGCAGGAGTAGAAACAGTTCTGTAAACAATCGTACACTCCCTTCTCCCGTCAGTTTACCGGTGTTTCAGCCACAAGCGGAGTTATGTGAGCCTGGGCTTGCTTACCTGGGTGGGTGATAATTCCAGCACCATGAACTGTGCAGGCAAAGTGCCCTGGACTCTGTATCTAATCTGAACCTGAATTTCTCTGTATAGTACATAGACGATGCCTTGCCTCCAGAGTCTCCTTATCTGTATGGCCTCCATCCCAATGCTGAGATTGGCTTCCTTACCCAGACCTCAGAGAAGCTCTTCCGCATCGTGTTGGAGATGCAGTCCCGGGACACCAGCGTGGGCGAAGGAGGAGCGGTGACCAGGGAAGAAACGGTGAGAGTGGTAGAGCTGTTGAATTTTGATACCTGCCTCATTCATAGGTAGTCCTGTCTAGCTCAGGTTTGTCTCACAACTGCTTATTACAATGTGATCTGCCTTTGCTGGATACAAACCGAGTGTCTAAAACCACTAGCCTCATATTATGCAGAACATCACCATGGTGGGATGTAATTGGAGTATTGTCAGTAATAGGACAGTGGCTTTTAATTACCCCCTGAACTGCAGTGCCTTCATTATCATCCTGTGAAAACGTTGCAAATAAACCTTCTGTGGCCTCCACTGTCTCTGAGCCACCAGTCCCTGTGCACTGTGCTGTGACTGGCATACCAATGGGCTCCTGAGTGCACCGTCTGCCAGGTACAATGTGCCACCCAGAACTCAGCCCACCTCTTACTGCTGCCACCAGGTCCCACCCAGCTCCCAAGCTCCCAGGGGCCTTGTAATTCCTTATTTCCAGCTGAACTCCTTTGCTATGCCTACATAGTAGGCTGATCTCAGCCTTTCCTCTCAAAACTCACAGCTCATTAAAATCTGGCCCAAGCATTCATAACAGGATCTGAAACCAGCCAATACTCCCTCAGTTTTTTATTTCTGCAGTCTTAAGGTCCCAGCCCTGTGTTTCAAGCTTTGCAAATTAATGAATTGCTAATAGAGAAAGCTTATATGAATTCTGTGGTTTCACACATGCTTCCTTTGGCTTGGTGTGGAGCTGGAGAACTTACTGCCTTTGCCTAAGGGGCTCTTAGAAGTGCTGGGCATGTTCAATTTTCAGTTTATACTGGAATTTGGGGTAAGGGGAATAATCCAGAAGTAGCAAAGCCAAAGCACATGCTCAAAGATAGCAAATGTGACTACTTCTCCCCTCCCAGTCCTTTTGCTATTGAAATACAATTAAACTCCTTGGCCAGAGAAGCAAAATTATCAGTGAGTGATCCAGCAATGGTATCACAGGGCATGGCTACCCTGCAAACGCCTGGTGACAGTCAAAGACTGTCACAGGAGCACAGAAGTCCTCATAGTTTCGTGATCTCTCTGGGAAGAAAAGCTGTCTGAAAGCAACCTGAGTGTGGCCCCACTGCACAGTGTTGTGCCTGGGGGGATGCTCCCACAGCTAATTTTCTTCTGGAGGTTACCTCTCTCGTTATCTGACCTATAACTGGCACTGGCTGTATCCCTTTCACTTGGTCCTTGAATGAGAGTGAGTTAAGAGTTGTCTCTTGGTTCCTCCATTTGAGGATTTCCAGCCCCTGATTTGGCTGAGGTGGTTTTAGGGAGTTTACAGGGAAACTGTGAGCCTGTTATTTTCCTGAGGCTCTGACAAGTCCAGTTACTCCCACAGGTTTCTGAGACCACATTACAGAAAATGAGCTGTAGTTGTGAAAAAAATCAGAGCCAAAGTGTTTTGCAGGGGAATTTCAAATTAGAGGATATTTCTATACTGCACCTGAGGTGCAGCTGAAGAGCTTTTCCAGCTGAGCTTTAACTTTAACCACCTAGCTGGTTGCAATAACAGCCTACACATCGTCACCTCTTTGTAACGTCTGATGCGAATGTGGAGGGTTTGGAAGAGCAGCAATGGGAGGAAATTGGAGCACAGAGTCCAAAGTATGAATGTTGATGGGCATGGCAATAAAATTACCCTGCATTGCCTCTGTCACTGGCTGGCAGCTGGTACTGGTGCCCGCACACCACGTTTTGCACATCAAATCGCAGAATTGTAGCTGTGTGTTATGTGTTCTTGAAAAATTCCCAAGAAGCAGAAGTTCTGCTCAGGTTCCAGCACAGAAGTAAAGCAAGAGACTTCCATACCAAGTTGCCTAACGGTCCACGTAAACCTAAGAGATACAGCTGATCCCATGAAGATTAGGGTCTTCATGCCTCATTGTCAATCAGAAAAGTTTTTGTCTGTTTTATTTATTTTTTAGACACTAGAAACTGTTTAGTACTTAGAGATACATAAATATTTAGTATTTAGAGATATAAAGCACTGTTTCCAAATCAAGCTGTAATGTTGACCAGAAAATAATTTTGTTTCATTATGCTTTTCTTCCACGGCTCTATTAGTTCAGAATGCCAAATTCAGCTTAAAATTCAATTTTATATGATCACCTCTCTCTATCAATATACCACAGAAAAACAGCTCATAAGCTCAGTTGTCCTGAGGCTCAGCCGAGGCTATAGCCCCATCCGTCTTCTTGCGTTGAATCTGACCTTAGGAGAAGCAAGAATACAGACTTAAGACCCAAGAAGAAAGGAGACTGCTACGTGTCACGGTGACATTTTTAAACCATCATTTTGAAAGCTTCTCATCTGACATTAACTTTTGTCAGCATTTGAATTTTAATAGGATGGGGCAAGCTCTTTGAAAGGTGCCATGCCCAGCGCAGCTGACACTGATTGTTTTCGGAGACAGTAACTGGCAGGTGGAGTTTTCATCCTGTATTCAGGCAGCTGTCAGCTGAGGAAACCCAATGGGTCATTCACTAACATCTCTCTCTCTTTTCCCTTTGGCAGGTGAAAGCTCTGCTGGAAGAGATGTTAGAGAAATTGATAGATGAATTTAACATTGCAGAACTGATGGCAAAGGTGGAGGAGAGGACGCCATACATTGTGGTTGCCTTCCAGGAATGTGAGCGCATGAACATCCTCACCAGTGAAATAAAGCGCTCTCTCAAGGAACTGGATCTGGGTCTGAAGGTAGGAGCTCTGGATGCTTGTGACTGCAGCGTCGTAAAATCTTGATAAACGGAAGAGGTGCTCAGGGAAAAAAAGGGGTCACACTCTGTATTCAGCACTGCTGGCTGCAAAACCAACTTGGGGTTGGGGAAGGGTTCACAGATGGATTTCGAACGGCACATTGTCTGCAGGCCATGAGTGCAGGCACTGGGAGAGGTTAAAGATAAACATAGCAATGACTGCTTTTGGGAACGGAGACCAAGCACTTCTCTCCACCCCATATTGTAGCACAGCAACAATAGGTCACTCAGAAATTGAGACATGGCCTATTTAAAGGTAAGGCAAAAAATCACGCCTTTTCACAAAATGCCCAGTTATGGGGGGAACTTGTAACAAAGTGTCATTAAAGGCACAAGCTGAGCTGAAATCAAAGGAAAGGTTGGTCATGTGTAAGGACACAAAATGTCCAGAGCTATAAGAGAAAAAGCCTAAAAACTCAAGAGTTTTGGAAGAGATACAACTCCCCTTGCTGGGGATGAGTCATTTGCTAATGGAGGAGGGTCAGGAGCAGACCTTCCCTGTGGAGATACTGTCCATGATTGCTCCACCCACAGTTGCTTCTCCACCCTGGTAAGAAACTAGACTGTGCTCCAGGAACGTGATGTCTGTCCCTCTGGGTGGTGGCTTTGGCTATTGCTTATGGAGAACAGCAAGGAGCTCTGGGGTTGGCAGGACACACCAGGTAGGATGTAAATTGCTGTTTTCAACAGGATGTGCAAGAGAGCTGTGCTTTGAGGCTGCACCCACTGGTAGGGGAAGTCATCTGCTGAATCCGCTCCCAGGCAGTTGGTGGAACAAAATATAAAAGGCTACTGATTTAGGGGATAAACCAGCATAGATCAGACTGCACTGCAAGTGAGTGAAGACCTGCCTAGCCAGCCCTGCTGCCCTGTAGTAACACTTCCCCTTCACCTTGTCATCCCAAAAGACTCTTCACCATAGCCAAGTGCTGTACATCCCTTGGAAAGGCCTAAGTGTAGCAGAGGAATGCTGCCTGGATCTTGCAGCACAAAGCTGGTGGCTTCAATATTACCCTGATGCCTTCCCTGCATCGTCAACACAAAGTTGTTCCCTGGATGATTTCATGGTGTGAGGCAGCAATTAAGGACATCAGTTGCTGGGCATTCCCTGTTCCATCATTTCCTGAATAACAGGTTGTCATCCCATTTTGCCAAAATACTTAGCTTGCAGAAATAACTTTGTATGCCATGGGAACCATCGCGCTTGAAGGAACTGCAACTACTTTGTATGAAGCCATTAGTAGAAAGAGCTGACAGGTGAGCAAGGAGGACCTGTTTTGAGACTGAATGACAATCGCAACCCTCTCCTGAGGGCAGCTTTGAAGAGAGATCTTCAAAGGACATATCTGCAGTGTGCACGCAGAGGTGGTAGGGTTGGCTCTGGGATTTTAGGTAGCTGCATCTCTGCGGGGATAGGACTAAGCTGCTTGTAAATCCCAGCTGCGTTGTGCTGTACACTGTGAACCCAGCAGCTTGGGTCCATACTAGCTGAGACATTTTGCATTGCATTTGCTGCTGATGCTTATTGTCTTGATTAAAGAGAGAGACATATCACAGACATTTCATGGTGGCCCAGTATGTACAGTCCATTTTAAAATAGGCTGATATTTATGTAGTCAATTATTATAAACAGATTTCCTTTATTTTCTAGCATAAGGCAGTGGAATTGAAAATTCTGTTTCCTGAGACAGGTAAACAGAAGTGATTTAATGTTTCAATCCTGGAGCACCAAACGAGATATAATTGTAACTGGGACAATGTGTAGCAATTAGATCTAATGTGGAGAAGAACAAACTATTTAATATTGGTAGGGGGAAGGAGTGGATGCATGGGCTTAAATAAACCACAGACAAAATAAACCACAGAAATCAGGCAATAATAGAGGGTGCAAATTTCTCCCCAAAACCCTGCCACAAATCATGGCAGGGAAGTGAGATGGTATCTGCAGAAAAGGCACCTCTAATGACTACATACGTTGGTCCCAACAGCCTCAGTACCTACGGTGTGATTCAGAGATACCTCAGGGCCAGGACTTAAGGACTACTGAAGAGCAGATGAGTAGCAGTATCTATTTGTGTTAGCATTTCTTCATCTTGTATATGCTCAAGAGACAAATTTCAAGGGTCAGAGATACCACCAGTGGGCAATTCTTCTGTGCCAAGCAAAGGCTGCATGTGGGTCCCTGCAGAGCTGAGTTAGACATCGCGCACGACCCACACCGCTGCCCAGCATCCCCCAAGGGGCCCTTCCCATGCCTTGTGTACGCAAAATGGCCAGGGGATGCTTGGCCCTGCTGTTGGCTCTTTCTGTAGGCAGTGCTGCTGTCCTGACTTGACAGCTAGGTCTCACACTCAGTTTGGTAGAGAAATCATTTTTTAATGGTTCCTTTTGAGAGCAGGTCCTATGAGGGCTGTTAATGCACGTTAATCTCTGGGGTTGGGGATCTTTACTGACAGCACTCAGAGGAGGAGAGTTTACATAACAGGAACCACAGATCTCAGAAGAGAATAAATAAAACACAGAGGAAGCAAGTCTTATTGTTTTTAACTGACTATCTGGTAAAAGAAGACGATTTAGAAATGTCATGCCTAATTTGAATTTTTGAATAATTCATTGTGTCTGTGTAGCAGAAAGTGATTGTTTGGTCCAAAAATAGGAGACATCCCATTAAGAGGAAAAGAAATTGAAATAGACTGGTAGCCATCAGAAATAACTGGCATGTTGCATTTCAAAGCCCTTTGTTCCGAATGACTTCAGTGAGACCAGAGGCTGGGCAGAAACACTTGCATGTTAATGTTGTACCCAGTGTAATTTTTGCAAGCAGATTTTCTATTTTGCAACTTCAGTGAAGGATAAGCCTCCAATATGAGGATAATAAATATTATAAAACGGTAAAGTAAGACCAAATTTTGTAAGGCTAGCTGGGTATTTCACTGTATCAAGTGAAAATAACCTTAACTGAGAAAACAATTTCTGACAATAGTCTGCTCATCTTGAGGGAATATCTACAGGCTGATTAGGATTTCCTTCAAGGGTGTCTTTAATGAAAATTACTCCCAGTATTTTGGGGAAAAAAAAAAAAGTAACTTGAATCATTCTGGATGCACTTTAGTATTCAGCATCTGAAATGCAAATTTATGCATAATTGTGTTTGGACAACTATGAGAGATAGCTGCTCTAGATGCTTTGAACTCTCACAGGAGATTCCAACAAGTATGCTTGAGTGCGCAGGCTTTAAAAATTGCTTTTCTTAAGCCTTCCTGAGAATTACATTTGCTAATTCATTTGTTTCCTGAAAATAAAACTAGACAGGATATATGATCATGAGGGTTATGTCTTTAAATCAATTTGACCGCTTGCACACATTTTGCAATATTTTTACCTGTTTTAAAACCTTTCCAGGAGTGCAAAATACTTCTGACTGTCACTGTTAGAAGGCCCTGTGGTTCTCAGTGTCCTGCTGTGACCAATGCAGTACTTTGCCCCTCAGACTTTTTCTTCTTCCTGCAAGGTCTTGCCATGGTTTTAGTCAGAGACCAGCCTATAGAATAGGTCCTCTCAGGGTCTAAGTTCAGTTCTTCTGGGATGGGAGATGATGACCCATGTGATATGAATGAAGAAGGAACCACAATGATACTTCAGAGTTTGTGTGCCAACAGAAGTTATTAAATAACAAAGCCATGGCAATTCCCCCCTGATGGGGTCAAATAATTTTGACAGCCTTGTGAAGCTCATTACAAGACCCTCTGATTAGACATGGCCATGATTTTCTGTTGTATGAGCTTTAATTGTGCGTCTTAAAGTGTGTTAGAGGTAAAGTGAAAGAGCTCAGGTGCCTAAGACGAAATGCACAGGGCATGTGCTGCCTTTGTATTTCTTTGTCACTTCATGGCAAATACCAAAATAAGAAATCTTAAGTTGTTTGACTCTTGTGCTTGGAATTACCCAGGACTTTAAAGACCTCTTACCAGATAACCCATCATTTTGAGATTCCCTGCAAATGTAGAATCATTGAATAGAAATAATGAGATGATTTACTGGTAGAGACTTAACTGGTCCCTGCTCACATGAAATGACAGAAGGTGATGTGTACTTTGAAAGGTGGTTACAGTTGTTCCTCATGTTTTAGGACTAATTGCAAATAGTCCGCCTTTCACCTTTTCATTTAACGCTATTTGTCGCTTTTAGCTTCAAGAGTGTTAAAACAAAAAACATCTTAAAACCTTTGTACACATGATTTTCTCTGTCCACCAGAAATCTGTTCTCCATTGGGAAACCCAGCAGGTTCGTATGGTTTCAAAAGCTTACTACTTTTAAGAAGTCATCTTTGGAGCAGAGGTTTAGTAATGCCTGGTACCGGTCCATCCTGTTGAGAGATGAACATTTCCCAGGGAGGGGATTTCTGCATGGGAAATCACAGATCTCTGGGGGGCAACTCTAAATGGGGATCCCAGGGCTGCAGTGGCTTCCAGGCATGGGGGCAGTACAAAAGTGCTCTCAGCTCTGATTTGAATTGGTGGGTGCTAGGGAGATATATCCTCTTGAAGTACTGCCCTTGCTTATTGCCAGACAAAATGAATTTTATTGTGGATATTTAGAAACTTTCACAGGGGAAAAAAAAATAAGGGGGGTGTGTGGGAAGATAAGCGTTGCTAAAAAGCCAGAAGTGCTAGAGTGGACATTTCCAGTGCCTGAATTCAGCTGATACCCTTCCTCCCTTTGATAAAACACAGTGTGTGGAGTAGGTGTGCATTCAAGCCCTTTGTTTTAGCTGTCATCCAGCAGCTCTGAGTATTGCATTTGCAACAGCGTGGTTAGCTCAGAGGATTCCTATTCTGATGACAAGTTGTATTCCAAGCTCGGGAGTCTCTCTGGTCTCTTTGCAGTGTATTTCCTTTGAGAAAATGCTTGCTAACCTAAGAGCGCTGGCATGCTTGTTTGCCCCAAGTCTTGATCATTCAGCACTGAGCCTGTTTCCACTTGTTAGTGCCAGATGCAGCATGGGCCATCCACAAGGGCACTCATTACTGCTCTCCGATGGTCTGGTTGGGTGTCTAGCTGTGATCTTGTCCTACTGTAGCCTGTCAGTGTGATCTGCAGATCAGAGCTCTGTGGGGCATGGTCAGTATAGGAATAAACCGCAAAGGTTTTTAACTGCTGGACTCAGACAAGCATTGCTAAACATGTGTTGGGGTTGCTTTAAGCGGATTTCAACTTTTGCTAAAGCTTCATAGATTTTTGTGGCCCCAGTAAAGGGCACCTCTGCTGACCTCATGGCTGGAGGCATGAAGTCTGTGAAAGAACAGTTGGAATTTTTTAATGTGAATAGACTGACCCAATTCCCTCGCCCTCGTTCTCAGCAATAGCTCAGTTAATCTTTCCAAAAACACTCAGCCTGAGGCAAAGAGAAATTGTAAGACAGATAAATTTTGGCAAAACGATAAGGGGGACAAATATAAGTATACTCAGCCTGAGGCAAAGAGAAATTGTAAGTCAGATAAATTTTGGCAAAATGATAAGGGGGACAAATATAAGTAGTTATAAAGGAAACCAGTGATCAAAATTAACTGTAAGTCTCCAAACTGCTGTGGTGTATTGTACCCCTCTAGCTCAGCATGGGGCATGCAAAGATTTAAATTGTGAAGGGCATTACGTACCTGTAGAAGCTGAGCCTGCATTTGCAAGTTTTTGTCTTTGCAGACTGCTTGGCTTGAGTGTCACAAAATCACAGATTAGTTGTTCTCAAGATTGTCTAGTCCAATCCTGTGCTCAAAGCAGGGTCAGGTAAAGCAGGTTGCCCAGGACCATGCCCTGCTGGGTTTTGAAAATTTCCAAGGATGGAGACTCCACGAGCTCTCTGGGTAACCTGTTCCAGTGTTCAATCACCCTCACAGTAAAAAAAGTTTGTACTTGTGTACAATGGAATGTCGTGTATTTTAAGTTGTTCTAAAGTTTGTACTTGTGTACAATGGAATGTCCTGTATTTTAAGTTGTTCTCATTGCCTCTTGTCCTGTCACTGGACACCACTGAGAAAAGTCTGGCTCCATCTTCTTTACAGATATTTATAGATATTGAAAAGATCCTCCCTGAACCATCTCTTCTTGAGACTGAACAATCCCAGCACTGGACCCAGCATGCCAGATGTGGCCTCACCAGTGCTGAGCAGAGTGCTGCCATTAACCTGCTGGCAATGCTCCTCCTAATGCAAACCAGGACGCTGGTAGCCTTCTTTGCTGCAGGGGCACATTGCTGACTCATGGTCAGCTTGTTGTCCATCAGGACTCTCAGGTCCTTTCCTGCAACTGCTTTCCAGGCAGTTGGTCCCCAACCTGTATTGGTGCATGGGGTTATTCCTCCTTAGGTGCAAGACTCGACGTTTCCCTCTGTTGAACTTCATGAGGTTCCTCTCAGCTCAATTTTCCAGCCTGTCCATGTCCCTCTGAATGGCAGCACACCCATCTTTGGGTATCATTGGTGGCCCTATGGAAGAGTGTAAGGGGGTAATAGTCTGAAGGCTGGACAAACCTCAACGGTCTTTCCATAGTGTCCTGGATCCATGCTGCCAGCATGCAGTAAATGTCCCCAGAGAGCAAGACAGGTTGGCAGATGGGGGCCTCTGTCCTTTGCAGCAGGGACTCACCTACTACTGTCACTCACTGATCTCTCCTGTGCTGCTGCATGGCTCAGGCTCCATCGGCATGGATGCTTTGATGGACAGAGTTCCCAACCCCTCATATCCTAACTGGCCACTGAACCTATTCTGTAGCTGCAGATCTGCAGGGGGAACAGAAGCCTTGCTCCTGTTGCTGGTAGTCACAAGCTTCCAGCCTTCTCCATCATGGGAGTCAACCTTTCCCAAACAGATAGGCACAGACTCTACCTGCCTTCCTTCGATACTGTTGGGAGTTGAGGCTCCTCTTTTATCTGCAGGGTCTCAGAGAAGATCCAGCTGGTCTCTTTCTCATCATCTCTGATGCTAAACAGTTTGCTGGCCTCCTCCTGCAGATCCTTTACTTGGTGTCACAGGTCCTCCACCAACACACATCTCCTACAGGCAAGGAGACAGTCTCCTAGCCCCGGGCTCAATGAGAGGCTCCAGGCAGTGCCTGCAGTCCCAGTCATGATGATCTGCAGCCTCGGTCAGGACCTTGGTCCAAGCTAAGGCCTCTGCTGTATCAGGGACGGTTGCTCCAGAACCTTGGTCCAAGCTAAGGCCTCTGCTGTACCAGGAACAGTTGCTCCAGGCAGTGCCGAGGAGAATGACCCATGGCATGTCACCACCATTGCTAAGCAAGTGTATGCTGTCCTTGGCAGAGTTTGAGCCCTGTCTGTGTGCCCCTCTGCGCAACCTGCTGCACAAACTGCTGCATCTCTTAATGGCTTCTCTTAGCTGTCCTTTCAGCTTTGGTACCATCCAGGCATCTCTTGCTTAGATTTAATGTAATTTCAGCTGGATATAGCAGGAATTTTCTTAATTTTAGACTAGCAGAGACTGGGGACCCTCTGCAGAGTACCAGAAGTTCAAGAGGGATGCTGTTATTGCTGTGCAGAAGCCCTTTCTGGCCATGCAGTGATGTTCCAGATCTTCTCCTGCCTGGGTGAAACTGATACAGGTTTCTAAAAGCTTTAAAAACAATTAATTGCTGGATACAGGAAAAGCAAATCTCTCTATATATCTCACTTGGCTGAATCATATCTTAATTTGTTATATGTTTCCCTGCTGTGAAAGAAACTGTGATTACATTTGCAGACAACATGTGAAGTCAAAAAGAAAGACTTGCACTGCAAAGTAATAAAGGAGGAGGGGAGTGAGGGGAAGCGGAGGAGAGAAGGGGGATAGGACTTGATGTAAAAAACATTTGGACAGTTTTGGAGTAGATTGTCAGAGACTACAGTATCCTGTCCTGGCAGCGTGAGTAAGAACAGCTTTGCACCTCTGAAAATCTGCCCTATGAAGATCTTCAGTCAATGAAAGAAAACAGAAACAACACTGGGTTAACTGAGGGACACCCATGCTGGCTGTCACTCTGTTACACATCTTTTCCTCCAAGTAGTATTTTTACAGTAGGGAAGATGAGGATGCAGGAATATGCAATAGAAGGTGTTAATGAAAACCCAAAACTCATGAAGAAATTCACAGTATGTGAACATTTGTGACTGTGCAGGGTGTCATGCTCTTCCTAGCTCAGCCTCTGCTTTCTAGCAGGCTTTGTTCAGGTTAAACAGTTGTCAGTGCTAATTATACCGTTTCTCACTCAGGGAGAACTGACCATGACAAGTGACATGGAGAACTTGCAGAATGCCCTCTTCTTGGACACGGTGCCTGAGTCCTGGATAAAGAGAGCTTACCCTTCCACAGCCAGCCTGGGCACATGGTTTGCTGACCTCCTCACTCGCATCAAGGAGCTGGAGGCCTGGACAGGAGACTTTTCCTTACCCTCCGCAGTGTGGCTTGCTGGGTTCTTCAATCCCCAGTCTTTCCTGACAGCCATCATGCAGTCCACAGCCCGAAAGAACGAGTGGCCTTTGGACAAGATGACCTTGCAGTGCGATGTGACAAAAAAGAATAGAGAAGATTTTGCCAGTCCTCCTCGGGAAGGGGCATATGTCCACGGTTTGTTCATGGAGGGTGCACGCTGGGATGCACAGGTGAGTTCACCAAGGCTCTTGTGTTGGGAGAGAAGCCATGGATATTATGCCCTTATTGCTTGGTACTGTACTCTGGGGAACTTCTCAGCCCAGACAGGCGCTCATCTGAAATAGTCATTTGAGCTGCCTCTTCAGGAATGGGAAAGATGTGAAAGATGGGCGTCTTCTCTGCAGCTTAGAGTGGGTATCCAAGGTGGTCAGATGAATCACCCCTTGGAGTTGCCTGTTTCATGGCCAACTTGGACTGATACATCTAGTTTTTACAAGGTGAATCTCAACCTCAGTGTACGTTGACTTAACGGTGGTCAGTACTCATGGTGTTACTACAGGTATAAAACATGGGGTCCCCTCAGGGCTGTATTGTCCCTGCACCTTCACATGGTTGTGATTTCACTGCTGCCTCTAAAAGTGACATGGCAGACTTTTGAATTGTCATTACTCTGTCACCTGTTTAGCAGCAATGAGGAGAGAGGAGAGGACTCTGATTTCCTACATGTCCCTAGAGTTGAATGGGTGAGATGTGCCAAATCCAGACCACTGTCCTTCCACTGCTGGGTGCTGCAGGATGTCATCTGCATAGATAGATCTTGTGGCCAAAAATTATTCACAGCCTTTAGCCAATCCTTTAGGGTGGCAAATAAAGCTTGCAAGAAAGTCTAACCTGTATGGTCAACTCAGACTCAGGCTGGTGACTCAGCATGGGGGGGCGTAAACTGATCCTGGACAAACAGACAGTGTGGGTGGCCCTTGCTCTTCTTCTTTCCCCTTCTTGATGTGGCTCAATACCTTTCAGTTGTAGCACAGCCAGCCTCAAGGCAGCCAAGGTGAGAACCATACCCTCCAACCAGGCAGCTGAAGGGAAACATGTACACTTGCGATGTCCTGCCTGTACAGCTGTCAGCGCTCCCCTTGCAGTGCCCCTCTCCGAGCAGCATCCCAGAGGAGTACAATGGTCCCTGTCATTCCTTCTGACAGTTGTCAGCTGTTAGGAGTGCATTCTGCAGAGCGAGAGACATTGGGCTGACAAATCCTCACTGGGCTCGATCCTCTGAGTTGGCTGGCCTGTGGTACCGTGACTCCCAACTTGTGCTGTGTATAAGAATTAAATGACAGTGATTCATGCAGCTCTTACTCTGGGCAGCCAGTGCGATGCTCCTGCTGCCAGTGATCTGTGAGAGTGAAGGCTGATCAAAGTGGGTCATCCAGAACTTACTTATCTGTGTCAAGTTTACCCCCTTGCAGGAAGAGACTTCTATTTCAGAGGCAGCTCTTTAGAGTCTTAACCTTGAAGATACTCCTTTATCTGTTGTGAGGCTTGGTGGTAGGATGCTGAGGAGAGAGGCCATGCCTGTTATATACCATATCCCAGCCTGACCTTGCAATTCAGATCTAATACTCTTCACTTATTTTTCTGCACCCTTTCTGAAATAGTTTTCTCTGAAGGATAGGAAATTAGGCAAAGCTTTGAACTCACTGACTGATGGCATCCAGTGGATTTTATCACAAATCCTTGGGAAGGTCAAGGCTCCATTTTCTCTCTGGAAATGAGTTGATGTGCACATTGGGTCTGGAAAGCCACAGGCAGTCAAGAACATTGGCAAAGGTTCTGTCAGAAGGTTACAGTAAAGATCTCACGTGGGTATAAGGTCAGATGTCCTGCCTCACTGGTTTTGGCTCTGCTAATAGCAGAAGTCACAGCAGGACCACAGAGACCAGCCCAGTCCATCTCTCAAGCCCTGGTCCTACAATTCCCTGCCTATTCCCTTGTCCAAGCTTTTGGTGTGGCTGCCATACAAAACCCCTTGCAGCTTTTGGAGATCACAACCCCTTACTACAGGGAGCACTGGATTTCCGTTACCCTCAAAAACTGACATTTTAAGCTGATATAAATCAGCAACAGTACAGAGAAAATTTAAAAAAATTCCTGGTCTTGCATACCGAATACTCCATTAAGAACAGATTCCAGTGACTGCTGTTATGTTTTCCTTTACCATCATCACCACCATTACCAGAAAATACAATGGTCAAAATGGCTGAGTTCTACCTGGGTTTTACCCGTCCCCAAGTGGAAATGGAAGTGAAGAGTGAGAAGTTTTGGTGGTGCAAAGCCAGAAATCTTTTGGGAAACATATGGCTTCTCCCCTTTGCCTCCCTCCAAGAACTTGTATGGGTGATTGCATTCAGCAATGAGGTTTGTCTTCAGAGACCATCCAGACTTTAGTAAATGTATTTTCTGGTTACATTTTCCTTGTGATTGAAAGATACTGAGCAATTACATTTATAGAACCATTCATAATCTCTGGGTATCATGCTTCAATTTATTTCAGAAAGGAAAAGAATATTTTCACATGTTGCTGCTCACACTGAAATATCATTTCCACCTAGTGGAACTATTCATTTTAGCTGTAATCCAGTGAGCACCAGTATATATTAATGGATGCAGCATTTTTAAAACAAGTGCACAGTTCTTTTGGGTTGTATACTCCTTCCACATTAATCCTCTGATAAGAATGGCAGATCATGTTTAGAAGAATTCCTCTGGGGAACACCTCCCCTTTTAAAAGAATATTTCACATTTAGATGGTGCGCCTTCAAAAAAGTAAAAAGTCCCTCTGTGCTCTGCTACTCACATTTTTCTATTTATTTAAACATTTATGTTTGCCCTTGGGTGTCTTAAGTTTATAAAACATTCATTACAAAACATCAGGCAGCTATTAGATGAAATGCAACGAAGCAGGTTATTTTGGGTCCAAATGACCTGTTGCTGCAGCACTGTTAAACTCAGTGGGACTCAGTGAGAGATAGTTTCACAGGTGACACTATGAGAAATTTTATCTCAAGCCATAGAATCACAGAATCATAGAATCATT